TAAAGCCAATCACTGGTGGAAATGCTGTGATTCTGGAGACCCAGTTTCACCTCCTGCATTTTATGTCCATGCGGGAGGTATGGTTTCATCCTGGGTATGTTCATAAGCTTCCATGAATACTTGTGAGTGTCCCTTTGTAAAACAGAGGAAGACATTTCCTTCTTCTGTCTGCTGCAAATTATTTAAAGATCCAGCTGAGGATTTCACAGATCTCAAAAACCTCTTCTTTCTAACTTGTATCTCACCTGGGAGTAATTTGATTACTCTGGTCCTGGGGATATTCTGAAACAGCATCTTTTCAGTGCTGGAGATTTCTTTGTAAATAGTTCAGTATCCACTGGACAGATAAAGCTGGATCTTTGAATTTAAACTACATTTTCCAAACAGGAAGCAGAAGAGGTTTGGGAGTCAGTCTTTCACTGGTCTTTTTAGTAGATTGGGGTATGATAGCTTATTTTTCACTGCCCTGCTGTCTCCAAACTGAGGAGCCCTCATCCTTTTAACTTTTCCCAGGTAGCAGATGTTCTAGATAATACCCTTGGTCACTTGAGCTGTCTTTCTCTTTGCTATTTCTATTATGATCCTTTCTGAGCTGTCTAGACCTCGAGTGCACACAGTACCAGCACTGTGATAAAATCAAAATGTTGTCTTTTCTTTCGCAGAAAATATTTTTTTAATCTTTGTCTTAGTAACCTTCCTGGTGGCATTTGACTTAAACATTGTAGAAGCTTCTCTATGGTCACCCATGGGTTTCTGACTCCCTTCGAGATTATTTCAAGTTGCCTTTCCTGAGTTTCCCTTGTTAGTTCCACACTCAGCATTAGGTTCTCACAGTTTAGGTTTTCTTCATCTGACTTTTATTGGCATTAAAAGGTAGCTACTGCCTTTTCCCCCCTCAATCAGTTTTGAGAAGTCCATGAGTGCTTTAACATCTATCTACCATTTAATTATATGAAAGGGTTTTGTATCATCATAATGTTAAGATTTAGGTTTTCAAAGGAGATGTAGATGGCCAGACATCTCTCACCTTGCAGTGGATCTCTGTAAAAATTGCAGTGTCAGCAACAAAATAGACAGAAATCTTGTTTGTCCTTTTTCCTGGCTGCTGTTCCTCCTCTATAGCATCCTACCAAGAGCCTTGTGGCCAGTTGTTATGGCACTACAGATCTTTCTGTAGTGACATTCAACAAATGAATTCGGGTTTGCAGGGTGATAAGCATCCACTCCCTCCCCCACCACTAATCTGAACGGAGCATAGTTTTATTTTGAGTAGGTTTAGTTTGTTTGCTGGCCTGCAAAAATAGACCTACTGTATTTCTGTGTGGTTTTAACTTCTTTTTTAGAAGTTACAGTGTCTTAATAGAATGTACCCTTTGAAGAGAAGTAAGAAAGCGTTCAGCAGCCATATAATAACAGAAATACCTCTGTAGTTTATGAAGATTAATCACTGTAGTTTATGAAGGTAAATATTTTCTTAGTGGAGGGAAGAACTGTGGAAGTAGCCATGCCTTCAGCAAAGATTATGCCAATATGCTGTCACACCAAAGTTTAAGGTGCAGCAGATGTCTTGTGCCAGAGGACTTTCAGTGTGGTAGATCTTAGTAAATCAGGAACTTTCAAGACATGTTTGGGTGCGGGGTGTAATCAAAAATGACCCAAAAGGAAGAACTACTGTTCTGGAAAGCAAATATGCAGAGATCCAGCAACATTCAAGTGTAGAAAGCAGAAATCTGACAAAATTTTTGCCACTGCAAGCGTGTTTCTCATGATGCAATAACACATTCAGTCTGCAACCTGTTGAAGTTATCTCATGCATTAAATGGACAAAGCTTTGTTAAGAGCATTAAAGACTTCTCTTTCCTCTTGTATGCATCCTGGGCATTCAAGAATATTTTTTATACAAAAAATTTGTAGTGATGAAATTCCTTTCACTTCCCATTCAAAAGCTGTGGGATTTGCTTCTATTCCCACTGGAAAGTCAGAAAGTGTTGACGCAGTGGAAATCTAGCTTAGTGTTTTGGATAATCTAGTGCAGCCATTCTCAGACAGGTAAAAATGCTTCCTCTCTTGTTTGGAAGGTAAAAGATTTACCACTTCAGAAGGCTTGTGAGAAGGCAAGCACTGCTAGGTCAAGTGGCAGGCTTAATTTCATGTCATCCTTGTGGGAGACAGTGCCCATGGACTCCCTCCTCCTTTTACTTCTCCTCCCCCCATCCCTCTCCACACACACCCATTTTTAGCCTTTTTTATTCTGTTTCAGGACAAGGCAGGGACAGGAAGGAGAGGATGCCCAGAAATTTGTAGGACAGAATAAAGTGCTGCTTTTTCATTTCTGTAACTGGAGCAAAAGGGACACTCAGTGCACCATGGATAATTCAACTTTACCAATATGACTTGAAATAAAGGTAGTATATCCAGAAACAAATCAACAATTTGCTTTTGAGTCTTGTCCAGGTACTAATACCAGGCTTGATCCTTACCTCTACTGATCATCTGGCAGCCCATGCACTACAACCTGGTGGTCAGAGCAGGACAGATATTGAGTTATTTTACCTAAAGTACATGTGAAACTTGTTTGCAATTAGAACAAACATATATCTAAAACTTCAACATCTAGAATTACTGTCTCCAAAATGATATATTTGGATGTGTATACTACTTAAGAATAAGGGAATCAGTTACACAAAAATTAGCAATTGACCTGGGGCTTCTTTTCCAAGTTATTCAGTCACTGCACATGACAAATGTTTAAAGAAATACCAAGAAAACTATCCTGTTTTACTATACTGTCTTAAAAAGTCCCTTTTGTAGAACATAAGAGATGGTGTCATTATGAAATGAAAATGCTTGTTCAGCTAGGGAGCAGAGCAATACAGCTTTAAGTAAAATTGGTTTTGCTTAATCTTTGATCCAGATATGCCTGAATTGCTTTCAGTATCTTTTTATTCACTTCTTTTCTCTTATGGAAAGGAAATTGATATATTTTTCCATCTTATTTTCTGTACAAAAAGCAAAATACGCTGAGCAACTTTATTTGTGATTAACACATATTGTGCCTACCTTTGCTATTTATCTTGCTAATTGTATTTTTCAGGAACACTCTCTTGTTTTTGTTCTATATTTTTTTTTGAATTCATGAGTTTGAGCATAAAAGTGGAAAAAAACCCCAACACCAAACCATACCCAAAGGGAGGATATGTTCCTCTAGCCTGACATATGTATTTCATCATAATAAAAGATAAACCAAAGCACCCCACACTTCTTTATCAGTTTCTTCTGACAACAGAGGTTTCTTATACATGCTGAGGTGCTTAGTTAATAATCTGACAGCAGAAAAGTAGCACAGGAAGAATGAATAGCTGCACATCTAAATTTTTTGTCAGTTTGCTCAAACAGCTGACCTGCAAGAACCTTACAATTGACTTGACAGCTGTAAAAAATAATGTGAATATTGAAATTGTACAATTATCCATAGATTTCTCTTTCAGGCTTATGAGGGTTTAATTTATATACACTATCATTATCTTGTTTAAAGTATTAAAAATATGAACCACAATAAAGACTAAGTCATGTCTCTCTCTTTACTGGAATTGAGAGAAAAGTTTTAGAGCAAACTCAGGAACTGTATTTTTGGAAGCACCCTGTCTGTCAGCATGCTTAGTGAGGCTGTTTAATAGCCTAAAGCCAATTAACCTGTAGTAGGAAGATGCTGTTCATTTTCTTTTTTCCTTGACATTGTTTTGCTCAAAAGCACAGGAAATAATTAAGAAGTAAAATGTCTTTCATCTTTGGTGGAACTGAGATGATGACCACAACAGGGCAAGAGCAAGTTGTACTTTAGTACTAGTTCTGATAGGATATGGATTTTGAATATGCATAGTTTTCCATGTCAGCAAAATCAGATCATTACAGTTTTCTGTGACATTCATATATAATAGAAGTCCTGATATGATATGCTATTTAATATATAACCATTTTTTAATTGAAGTCTCAGTTTAAATGACTGTGGCAATATATTTTTATTTTCAGTATGGGTTTTTTGACTTCTTACTGTATTGCAAAGTCATTTAACATAAATATGCATTTCATAAAGGACTGATTAAGAGCTCAAATAAAACTTACAAAAAATATTTGTTATAATTGGGTTATCCATTGTTCCATTTTTTTAAGGGTTTATGTATTTTTGAAAGATATTCTATTGTGGTTAGTCACACAAAGTATTTTAAATATAAGACAAAACAACTTAACTTTTCAATTGAACGTGACGTGACCACAGTGTGCTTTTGTGCCTCCCTGTGGAAGCATAGGGTGCAAGTGGCACTTGACAGAACATCACAGAGAGGGTCCAGAACCTGTGTAATAATTCTGTACACTAAGGATTGACCTTGGTGACCTCCTTACAAAGCTCTTCATTTCATTGAAATTATAGAATGGTTTGAGCTGGAAGGGACCTTAGAGATCATCCAGTTCCAACCTCCTGCCATTGCAGGGACACCTTCCACTATCCCAGGTCACTCAAAGCCCCATCCAACCTGGCCTTGAACACTTCCAGGGGTGGGACATCCACAACTTATGTGGGAAACCTGTGCCAGAGTCTCACCACCTTCCCAGGAAAGATTAGATTTTCATAAAATCTAATATAAATCTCTCTTCTGTTCATTATTTTTTTAAGACAGAGAAGCTTTATCTCTGATGTTAAATTGCAGATTTACATGACAATTTTAATTAGGTGTAGTTTTATTTTGAGAATTCAGGCCTTCTTTTACCTTTCAGTTATTTAGCTGTAAAAAAAATTTACCTGGGAAATACAAAATTTAGGTGAAATAAAAATTATGCCAAAAATTATTTGATTTTAATGTCCACATTTTCCAAATTCACCATTGCAAATTCATCTCTTTCTTGTTGAAAAACATGTAATTTAAAGGTTCTTGCTGCTGAAAACCAAACAATTTTGTCACCTTGAACTCTATGAATATAACTGAGGAGATGACAGGAGATAAGATAAAAGTCAATAAAAAGAGAATAATTTATTAAAAAGATCTAATGTTACAAGAACAGTACACAGAAACTATTATATTACTGTGTCTTCCACATTGTATATACCATTATATATAGCATATATACAGATTGTATACAATATATCTAACATTTTGATATGGGCCATGATAGCAACTTTCTTTTGGTTTGTGAAATAAGGTTTCTTTCTAATTATTTTATTTTCTGAACAGATTCTGTGACATTATACAAAAATACAGTCTCCTCAGTGACGCTAGACTGCACTATTACAATTTTTTACATGAAAAAGGAAAAAGCTTTCCCTTGCAACTAAAAATGTCATGATAAGGAAACATCTTCTACAAAGTAACAAATAGGTAATACATAGGTACTTAAACATTTAAAACATGTTTATTAATATATTTAAGATGCAAAATACATATTCTGTTCATGTTGAATATAAAACATACCTCCTTTTGTCCCTGCAATACAATTACATTACCTGATGGTATGTTCAGTATTTCTATTTGTATCTTCATACTAGAGAGGGAGATGTGTCTAGATGGAGCTGTCTCCTCATCAGACTTTTTTTTCTTCCTATAAAGCATATCCATTTATTGTTATCAGAATGTTTAACCAAATGCCACCAGAAGTGAATGTAGCCTATTTGAATACTCTGAAATGAATTGCATTGGCCAGCAACTGTGTAAAAAAATAGAGGAAATTATACATAACTAATTTATAAAATAGCCATTTGACTTTTTGGTTCATCACTTTATTCTTATTTATTTTAACATTTTGGCAGATGATGGATTGCTGATGCAGGTTCTCTGCACAGTAGCAATGCTGCTGTTTTACAAGAGACAGCAGGTAGTTATTCTCTGAGTTTGCTCTATCAGCAAGGTACCTTACACCTTCCTTTGATGTCAAAGGCTTTTCCAGAAGCAGAGATATAGAAGATCTCTTTCTATATATCTACAGTTAATTCTTAGCTAGCTATCCTGCATTTGTTTTCTGAGCAACATGGTGACTTAAGTAATTTTAAAAACCATTTTTTAAGAAAATTATTTAAAATATTAGAGGGTAGCAAAGATTTTAGTTGAATGTCCTCTGTAAAATTTTAGTGGTAAAATATTCAAAAGCAAAAATATTTAGTCATCAGTTTTCCACCTTCTTGTCTTTGTTGTGCTTTTTTGGTTACTGTTTTGAAGCAGCTAAGAAAGAGCACAGTTTCAGTGTATTGTTTAAATGCCAAAAAATATTTTGCTAGTGAATTGGCAAAATAAAAGCATTTTGAATTGGGAACCCATCAGCTAAAATAGGTTTTCATCGAAACTTTTGCAGGGATAGACAACTAGAAGAACTACGCTATTAGGACTTTCATGTTAACCATTTTTGACTTGATTCTTCCTAGGCAGTGCAATGTTTTTCCTAGGCAAGGTCCCCAGAGGTGTTAGCAAAATGCTGCCCTTCCTAACACTGTGCCCACCATGATTGTACAAACATGCACAACATCTTCCCTGGGAGTAATTTTTCCTCAGGTTCCAGTACATGGGAAGCCTTCCATATAGAAAACTTGTCCAAAATGTCTATTTAGTAAAAAATTGTCTGGTACAGCAAAAAGTGGGGATTAGAACTGATAGCACACAGTATCTACAAGAATAATCTCCAGTGAGCTATAGAAATAGAGCCAATTAGATAAATAGTTGGGATGATGCTCTGTAGCACTTTTCCAAGTATTTTTTTCTCAGAAACAAAATTCTCCAAAATATATCCGACTGTAGTGTGTAGATATGTGGATAATGACATTCTGAAAGGCATAGAATGATAACAAAAATTGGGCTCAGGAAAAAAAAAGTTACAACTGAGAAGTGATTGGGAAAAATAGATTTATCTCCTTTCATTGCTTTATTTGTCCTCTTAGTAGCTTAATGTATATAATGTTTAAATGACCAGTGGAATTTTCATTGTCATATGCAGAAGGAATTGTTTTCTTATTTTCTACTGAAAATTCAATTTGACATGAAAGCTTGTGGTATTTGATAAAAACTGACTGGTTTCATCTTAAGCTTGTATTTAATAATTTTCCATTTCCCTGGTAATAAAATAAATGGATTTTCTGCTCCATTTTGCTGAGTTCTGGGGTAAATTGTCTAGTATTTCATTGACTATCATTTTTGCTAAATGTATACATATTATATATTTTCAGAACGAGTTACTCTTTACTTTTGCCTAGGTCTTTGTATATAAACTCTGGTTTTCTTCCTTGTGAGTATGAGCAACCATCTGTATCAAACTTTTTTCTATACTTAAAAAAGGATTTCTTTTCTCCAAACCATACAGGTGTACTGCACTAGACACCACCCTTTAAACACCTGATGATACATGACTGGCTTCACCAAATTTGAACATATTAAAAAAGGAAAATACATTTGACAGAAATTATCTTTGCTTACAAAAGTTTATTACATACAATCTGCATATTTTTGGGCCAAGAAGGGTCTCCTTCCCAGAGGACTTTTACAAATAAAGAAGAGATAAAAACCTGATGAATTATTGACCGTGTCTCCAACACTCCTGTAAGTGCACCACAGGCATTTCGATGGGTCTTTAAGCATTAGCTTGAGTTTTCAGTTTCTCCACGGACATAAAACTCCATCCCTTGGTGTCATCAAGTTAAAGCAAACAAATAACAACTTCAACAAAGTCTGCAGCCTTCACCATGAGGTCGAAGGTACTATCAGTGCCAAAAGCAGTGTTACAGAGGATGAGGAAGTGGACAACACATGTAAGGTGGACTGAGCACTTGTTACTTTCCCTCCTGAAATGAAAAGCAAAGTAATTAAGGAACAAATTATGCAAATGGTTCTCAGCACATTTAGATATTAGCTTTTACCCAAATTTATATTCTTTTACCCTCAGTGAAAGACTAACTTTTAGGCAATGGATTACTGTGTGAGGACTGCAGTTACAAAATGGGCTCCCTACAAAGATGGGTTATGATGATACCTACAGCAGCTTGCATTTCTGGATCCTCATATTCGGTCTGCAAATTAATAGGAAATTCCAAAAGAATATATGGTTTTGTATCTTAATCTTCAAAACAGCATTAGGTTGCAGAAGCTTCCCTGAGTCACAAATTTATATCTCAGAACAAGGAATGAAAGCTAGCTCTGGATCCCTAGCCTTGTCCAGAGGAAAAAGTGGTCTTTGGCCCATTAGTGCAGTGTTGATTTTTGATTACAGCACTGTATTAAAAGGCCATGCTAAGGGGAACTGTGTTCTGGGGTAGTAGTGGTAGCAAGATGGGAAGGGAACCAGACTGGGTTTCTTTGGACAGCAATTGTCCAAAATGAGACAAATGTGATATGCATAGTCTAAGTAGATGGAGGACTTTGTGGCCTAGAATTATGATATATGAAATAAATATTCCATGGGTAGGGATTAGTGTCTTCTGCATTCTGATGATAGAGCTGCAGTTTGTGACCAGACTAGAGCTGAAATTGTAGTTCTAGATTGAAGTTTCAGGGTCACACCTTTTGGTTAGTGCACCTTAATGATCAAAGAGCAATATTTAATAAAATTTTAAAGTGTTATCAGAAGGTTATAATTAAAATGCCTTGTTATGTTTAGGCAAAGATGATGTTATTTCTTTGTTGTTCTTGCCACTAATCTTTCCATCCCTTACTTACCTTTGTAATATTGATATTTTAAATTCTTTCAACATATCACAGTAACTGAGGAGAGAGCAGCTAGACATCATAATTTAAATAATGATAACATTTTAATACTGCTATAAGTTAATAATGAAATAAAGTAATTGTGCAATGGAGTCACTGGACTCAAGAGAAATTCAGCTTATTCTCAAGCAGGCACGTACACTGAGGTCAGCTACCTAAATCCGTGCCACTCAAGCTGTGTTACATAGTGCACCTCTGCCTGGTGGTACAGAATGATGTGTGTCTCCCCTAAGTCCCACATCCCATTTTCCAACTCTGTTTGGGATTCCTTAGGACATTACAGCTGTCCTTAGGTGCTCATGTCTTAATACTAAAATTCAGATGATAGCTGAATTGTTGTCAAGGCTCCACTGCTAGTCTCTATGGATTGCACCCCAGCTGACTATATTGCTATTTCAGACACTAGTGCACATATAAACATGTGTAGCTCAAGTAGGTTTGTAGATGTTATCCTCAAAAAGAAGTTTCCTATAAATCATCTTTGTCCATCAGCCTCACATGGTTGCCTCAGATGATCTTAAACATCCCATGTGTCACAAATACCTTTGTTTCTAAAGAACTAAATATTCAGATCAATGCTTTTATTTAATAGCTAAATAATTGTGAGAACATTGTTTTTCTGATAGAGAATAAGAGTTAATGATCACTGCTATAATCACCATGCTTTCAAATATAAGTGTAATCTTACCTGAAAAAGATGGAACTCTGATCTGGGGACTTGCAGTCCCATCCCCTCCTTCACTGACTGCACAGACCTCAATGATGTAGACCCCAACATCAGGAAGAAGAACCACTGCAGAGGTTTTCTGTGTTTCTATAACTTGGCTATTGCTCTGACCCTCTTGCCGAAATAACACCTGTGGTGGATAAAGTAGATAGTGGTCACAGTGGTCATTCAAGCTCTGTGCCAGACATTTTGTGTAGATAGCACAATCACTGCAATTTTAAAAATTTCATGCTTTCATTAGGGATTTCTTGACATTGTATTTGAACAAACTTTGCTTTTACCCTTGTCTTCCTGCAATGACTTCAAAACAGTAATAGCAAAATATTATACTTTCATGAATGTGAAAGTACATAGATTATGACCTAAAGCAAAGACAGAGGATTTGCCCTCTTCAGCATTAGGTGTTGCACAATTTTATCTCCAAAATTTCAAAATCTATTTTGAGTTCCATTTAGTTCAAATTCTTATCCCAAGTTCATGTTGATATTCACATTTCTGGATCAAGAACCCAACTTCAAATTTAAGGAAAATAGCCTGAATAATGTATTAACTGTGTTTACTTTAGCTGGCTAAATCCACTGACAACAGTTCAGATCTGTCCCTGCATTTCCTGTGAAACTCAGCACAGATTTATGGTGTGTGGGAGGGGAGGAAAGCAAGTCAGCACGTAGCTGTCTTTTTGGTATTTCTACATAAAAGTTTCTGCTCCCACAGAAAATTGAAAAGGTCAGAGAGTTGTGAAAAACCAAAGAAGTCAACTCTACTATTTCAGAATATCAACAATTTTGTAAAGGTTAGAACAGTTTTTGGTTTATTTGAACCATTTTATACTTTTTCAGTGATATTTCCTGATGTATCAGAGGAGATATGAGATTGTAGTCTATAGAAATTATTTTATTTGGGCTCCAAAAAAACCCAGATTCCACACTTCTCTAAAAACACTTGAAATCATTCTACTTTTATTTAAGGTATTGCAGTGAATTCTGATTTTATGACTTGGTGTTTAAGTGTTAATGTGGATTTTAATCTTTAAAACTTTGAAACTTTAAATTCCAGAAGTTACCATCAGTATTGTTGACCATCGCTAACGTGACCACAAAACAAACTGAATTGCTTGTGTTTCTGCTTAAAAAAAAAATAATTTTAATGTAAATTAAAGATATGTCATTATTCTGCATTTCTCTAAATCCTACTGCAAACACAATTGAATTGAAGAGTTATTAAGAATTTCATTGTAGTCTGATATTATTAATAGCCACTGCTGACTCAGAGAGGATGAACTGACCCCCTGAGATAGAGGGGAGTCAGATAGAGTTTGGTATTTGAAAATCACAACACAAAAATATGTTTGGACATTTATCACATTTTAATTTTATTTATTGCTTCTCACAGTGAGAGCTGTTTGGAGACAGTTTGTAGAGAAAGCTTCACTTGCATAGAAGAACAAGAAGGGAAAAAAGCCAACAAAGAAGAGGAGCAATTTCTTGGAAGACAGAAAGGTGAGCAAGGAAGGGGAAGCACTAACCTTGTATCCCATTACATCAGATTCATTAGCTAGAGGTCTGACTGGCTCCCACCCAAGAGACACATGTGAGCCATCCTGTATCCACATAATATTGCCTGGTGCTTGGCTGGGAGCTGAGAAGAAAAAAACATGTACACATACATATTATTATAGGTAGTTTCTTTAAAAACAAAAGTAAAATATTTTAGTCTTTCTTTATATTTAAAACTGGTAGTGTTACCAGGCTTCCGACTCTAGATAGAACATTTAAGATTTTTTTCATCAGGAGTGTAACTTAGTAGATTATAGTGTATTTATTCCACCCACACCATTAATTCCACAAAGCTTACGAACTTGAGATCTTTTCTCTCCCTTTGTACAAAATGCCTTGTTTTCTAGGAAATTGACCTTTGTTATGAATGCAAAGTCATATGAATACATCTAAACATCAAAGCAAAGCCATGAATCAAGGTTATAAATGATTCCTGATTATTATACACTTTTAATAAATAAAACACCGAAGGGACAGAGGCTGCTCCCAGATTTCTTCCTTTTAGAAAAGGTGTTGAGATTACTTACGGGATTTCTTGGTTGCTGCATGTACAGCAGTGCTAGGTGGTCCATACCCTGCAGCATTGTATGCCCTCACTGTTAGGTGATATAATGTGTTTCCTTCTAATCCTGTCAGGAGGATGGATGACTCATTTCCCTCTGTTTTGACCTTTTCTGCTGCTTCTTCCTGCTGCATGTCCTTCCAGTAACCAACCTGCCAACGAGCAACCAAATGAAGGATTAATATAGGCACCTGGCAAGCTCATGCTGCCAGATGCTTGTGCTTGTTATCCTGTGGAAGGTATTTTTGCCATTTATGCCTTTTTCTGATCATTAAGCCCCTTTAAGCATATGGAATTTGCAGCTTGACCTCAAGCCATTCAGTGCTCTCTTCTCCAAAATGGCAAGACATGGAATATTGTGGTGTGACCTGGAGCTGTGTACTGTCACAAGAAGAGGTTACTGTAAGACAGAAGAGGAGAGGGTGAATTTTGTCAGGGAGAGCTCATCATTGAAGGACAACATTCAAGGAGAACTCAGCCTCTGGTAGGTCACCAGAATATCTACATTCACCCTGGAAAACTGACTGCATCAGTTAAGTTTTGTGAGCAATATTCTCTTGGCCTTGTTCAACTCAGATCCAGGAGATTTCTTATCAGTCCAATGAATAGGCAATGAGAGAACAATGATGGAAATATTTTAATCATCTGAAAAAACTTAACAGAAGAAAAAAAAATAAATTGATTCAGTTCTTGGATATAAACAGGTTTATGGTAAATGAAGTTTTGATAGTATGTTTATGCCCTTCGTTTTCAGACATAAAATAAACCCCTAAATTGATCTTTGGTGGTTCTTTACTCTTATTCTCTAGTATCTTTAAATTTATCATAACCTCAAAGAGGTTATAAAACTGAACTGAATCTGGACAATCTTTTTCCTCAGGGACCAAGCACTTGCAGGGTGTAAGTGGAGAAAATGTATCTAGGTGAGCTACACAAGTAAGGCAATTCTCATGGGGCCCTATTTTGCTTAACAGATGTCACTAACATGCCATTCAAAGACTTATACTCAGCTTACTTTTATTCATGCTGAGACCTACTTGCTTTTCTTCCACATTTTGACCTTTTGTGTGAAGCTGGTTATTTCTTAATAAGTTATTTACATTGTATTGGGATAACTTTTCCTCTGAGAAAAAAGGTCACGAACAAGAGAGAACTCTTGAGAATGTCTCCCAGGAAATGGTGAACGAAAAAAACCCCAAGGGGTTTGCAGGAAAATAACACCAGTGAGCACAATGCTGACTTTTTATACTTGTATTAGGACTGCCATAAAAAAAGATCTGGTTGCAAAAATATACATTTGAGGTCCTATATTTACTTGAGAAAAGTGCTGTTAAATTTGATTGAGGGTATATTTGTGTCAGCTCACAGTCCGCTCTTTCAACGGTAAAATTCAAGTATTTGTCTTTTGTGTGTATGCCTGCATTATCTCATGTTAAAATGCTATTGCTTTAATTCTTAGATTAGTTACAGCTCAGTTCACAAATCTAGCTGCAGTCACTACTTGTTCTGAAAAAAGTGTGATTCACTGAGGTGTTTTGCTGGATGAATACTTGGCCAATGCTACAGATATCAGAAATTACAGCCATTCATAGTCCGTTTTCTTTTCTTGAAAAGAAAAAGTAATTAATAACCATTTATTCACATCCTACTATTGAATCTGCAATGCTTATTATCTCTTGGTCAGTCAGATTCCTTTCATTTTACTCGTGATGCATCTTAACAAATATGATGTACAAATGGTGAGAACTGCACAATATTAAGCACTGTATGAACAGGCAGTGAGGGGGAACGTGTCCTGGAACCCTGTAGTCTGCTGAGGATCCAAGAAGAAAAGGGTCAGAAAGGAAAAGTGAGTTGTCTAAGCTTACACGGGTGAACAGTAGCAGGGGTCTAAAGGAGACAGTAGCAGGGGTCTAAAGGAGACTCAATTTTTTCTCCTTTTTCTAGAAAGCCAGGAGGAAAATTACAAGTAGCTGTATTAATTAATTAATTTAATTAAACCTTAATTTAAACTTCTCAGAAGGGATCTACAATACAGAACAGGTTTTCATAGTAACCTGTTTTCATAACATTGAATATTGATAGTAGCATGAAACATGAAGCATAAATTATAAAAAAGTAGTCAATATTTTAAAACTGACAGAAAAAGGGGGAAAGAAAGCATTTTGTCTGTTTAATGCATTCTTGTTTGTGAGGTTTTACATTTTTTTTTCTGGGCTTTCTGCTCTTTTTAGCCAAAGAATAGTAAACTTTGATACCTGATTTCCAGAGACCCATCCCTTTGAGCTGGAGAGGAACAACCCGCTTTGCTCTGATCATGGGTTAAGCAATAGTTAAAAGCAAATCTTGGCAAAAAAAAATAATTTCTGTCTAAAATTCTTCTACCTCTGATACTTGCAGGCCACTTCCTTGAAGTTTTAAGTTAAAAAGTATCTTAAATGATATTACTCTTTTCCATAAATTGGTTTCTAGGTTATACAGTCCGTGTCATAACTTAATCTGATCTAATTTCAGGTCATCTTCATTAATGTGATAAAGTCAGAGTTACTGGCTGAATATTCTTCCTGTTGACCACAGAAAATTAAAGCTACAAATTAAATATATCAAGTAAGAGTCTAAATTAAGTAGAATTTCCATCTTGCTTTTCTAGTCTGTGGTTAAAATATCCATATGCTCTTTCTAAATTACCTCAAGGTGTACTTCACTAAATTAAAAAAAAAATCTAGTACCATGTAAATAAAATTATCTGTTCCATTATAAAAATAGATAAAATGCAACTGAGAAACAGCAAAATACTGAGTAACTCTCTTTGAAATACCATAATATGGTTTTATTAAATAAATAATACAATAAACCAAGTTATTATGTCAAATAATCCTCTATGAAAATGGCACTCAAGAATTTTTTATCTTTTCTTTTTTTTTTTGTTATTTTTGATTTTATTTATTTTTTTGCTTCAAATTGATCTTTTGATTGTATTAATCAAATTTCTATCCTTTAGAGGAACTCCAGCAAAAAACACATGATCTTTTTCAGTTATACTTAAGTATTAAGCTTGTCTTTCTGGAAAAGAAAAATTAAACCCAAAATATCTCTTCTTCCAGTCAGTAATTCTTTCTGTTTTCCTTCCTTACCACTAGTGAACCAAAAGGAAAATATTGCCTCGGGCTCAAATAGATTTTATAACCTTCAGCTTATAGATTCCAAACAATAAGTATGAAAAACACACTGTATTTTTTCCACAATTCTGACATAGTTTTTGAGCTGTTTCTACTTTATCAGACTGTAGCTGGTATATATTTAGTAAGGTCGGGTGGACAGCTGACAAACCTGTACTGAAGGCAGGAATAATATGTGCTTTGGAAGATGCAAATGAGGGAGCAAACCTTGCATAAAACTCATGTGACATAACAGTTAACACTGCCTTTCAAGGATGACAATGTGAAATTGGACAAGTTCCTTTGCCTTTCATTACTCCTTAGTACAAAGTGCAAGCAGGGCCAGAGTGAAAGTGGGTCACTGTGAACTTGTCCACATTTAGTAAATATTCTGCCACTTGGGTTGATTAAAGCCCAAACATTCAAGTGTTAAGAAAATAGCTGCCCCTTTTATAATGCTGTTGCCAAAAGGCCAGAAATGTGGAGACTGTGTAGGAGGTTGTCACTGCTATGATGACCACAGCCAGAATACAAATTGAGACATGAAAGCAGAGAGGTTAGTTAGATTGTTTTGCATTCAGATTAAACTGAAGGCAGCTCTTTACTTGTGTTCCACAATAATTCTATGTTAGAAAAGAAATATAAACCTGAAAAAAAGATAATTAATCCTTTTATCAAAATTACTGGATACCTGTGCATTATCTATTTGCTATTTGTGGATAAAGGAGTACTAAGTCTTTGTTTTCCACTGCACTGAACAAATGATGAACTTTCAGAAGAATTTTTCCAACAAGTGAAAGAGACTCTTAAGAAAGCAAATAATATGGAAAACATAAAGCTGTTCTGTACTTCTGTGTTGGTTTTTTTTTTTTTTTTTTTTTGGTTTTTTTTGTGGAGGGTGGATTTTAGCCCCAATATCTTCCTACAGAGACTCTTTTCCTTTTTGCACTGTGGGGATGCTTTAAAGGCAAACTGTCAGTATGTTAGGAAAATTGGGTTGATAGTGTGGACCTAGTGTACTTAAGTGAATATTATAATACACTGACTCACTGTACTGATCCTATAAATCATTACCTCCTTTTTGATGAAATTCTTCCCAAAAATGGAATTGAAAAGATCTAGCAATACCATCCTTAGAAGTTATTCTCTCCTGCTGAATTGTGCAGAACAGCAACATTTACTTTTATATTTACTGAATAAGTGGTGTTCAGACTGTAATCATTCCTGTGAGGATGGAGGAGAGTAAATTACTCCATGGAAGATTTGTCTGTCAGAAAGTGGGCAGAGGAATTCTGGCTAAATGAACAGAGACATAAAGAAGAGGATGGGGTTTAGTAGGAGGGAGAGGAAAAAACACCCTCATCTCCCCAGATAAAGGTGCTACCTTAGAAGTACTTAGTACTTAGAAGGCTCCTCTAATTCCTTTGTGGGAGGAGGTAAAAGGGAGCAGTGAAATTTTTTTATATTTAATTTTTTTTTGTTAGGTCAATTGCAGGTCCTTGGCTTGAAATACTTACTCAGTAATCTTCATGCTATAATCCTAAAATTAGTGTACAGCAGCGTGAGTAGCTAAATTATTAAGGTTTGCTGTTAGTAATTTCTCCTGTATTAATGGGCATTTTCAGATTTGTACCGGAGAAATCTGTGAGAGGCGTAGAGCTGTCAAGTATTACTGTTTGGGTCAGAGTATGCCAAACTTCAAAGGTCAGAGCACTTTCCAAGTGCAGAAGACCACCTCTGACACAAAGCAAGCCCATTGTCCTTCCTGTAACAGCCATCTATTGCTAGGACACACCTGTAGAGCTAAGGGAAGTGTTATGTGACAAGCAAGTAAATGCAAAAATCCATTCACATTATGAAATGTAAGCTTCTAGGGAAATAAAATTCAATTTTAGAAAGAAAATCTATATTTTATTTAAAAATATGTAATGCAAAGTTAATAGAACATTTTGAGAATAATTTTGATCGATGGAATGAGGATAAGAGTGAAAACAGTAGGTATAATTTAAAAGATGTTAAGATAGCTGAGAAAATAAACCAAACCAGACACCTTTCTGAAAAGAAAAAAGACAGGGTGCAGCAAGTAAGTTATTTCAGATGATAAAAGACTGGTCTCAAGATTGAAGTCAGCTTACTAACAAATGGAACACTTCAACATGGAGAGGAATAGTATTTGCAAGATGAATATCATCTCTATCAGATACAGTTTTGTTCTCTTTATAAATCGCAGGTTTAAAGGTAAAATGGTCAAATATAACTTTTGCTGCATGAGGCAAGCTATGTGCAAAGAAATAGAAATTTATTTATTGTAAGAAAGAAGTGGGAGAAAAGAACAATGAAAGAAAACTGACAGAGGGTTAGCAGAGTTCAGTAAGCAGACGTAGATGGAAAAAGGACCTGAACAAATGCTAGACCTGAGGGGACATGCCAAAGTCACAGCCCATTTGCACGGTGCTAGATATTAACAGAAATATTGCTATCCAATATATCAACAGGCTACAGAAACAGGTGTAAAAATATTAACTGGCTGCATCTGAGCTATGAGGTAAATGTGTTGTCCTGGTTGTGGCTGGCCAGCCAGAGGCTGAGCTGGAGGAGGTGCTGACTCTGCTGTTGCCCAGACACCCACATTTCCTTCCTAAGGCTGTCATTGATGGCCACCAGCCCCTGTGGTTGCCCAGACATGCTACCAGGGAGACACCCTGTGCCAGTAGATCACAAATTATCTTTTGACACCCATATGATTGGTGCCTACCTCAGACCTACACTTTTACTCTCTTTTCAATGCTACTGTAGAAAATCAGGAATGAACCAGCACAGGTCTAAAGCAGGACAAATACTCTGCATCCAATAATCTGTTCATTTGGTTTAGCTGGACTATTTAATGAGAATCAGCACAGCCTGATCCACAAGGTCAGGGTGGGTTGTGGTAGTGGCCCAAAGGAATAGACAGGTGTGCTGCTAGATCTGATCTGTTCCTGGAGGTTTGGATTGTAAACTGTATCGAAAAGTGCAAGGAGGTCCCATGCCAGGGCGGGCTCACTCTCAGGAAGGGCTGTCTCTAAGCAACATTTTATTTATGGACTGTGCAGCTGCTCCTTCCCTCCTGACATCCTGTTGTTACTGTCTGCCCAGCAGATGTCCCTCGGCCACTGTGGGATGAGAGTACATGATCCTTTCTCTGTGCTGATTGCTGTCAGTAAATAACAAGCTTGAACTGGTAGCTTAGAGCTGGAAACAGTCAATACCTAATTTTCCCCAGCCTGTGAATGATGCATGCTGGGTCACTTGCAGTTCTTTCAGCTCTTTCTGAAGTGACAAAGAGATCTTACAAGAGCTGGTGTTGAACAGTTTTCAAGCACAAATAAATAAAAAAATGTTCTGGTGCTACAGCTGTGACTGTTGTTCCACAGCCAGTGGTATGTAGACTCAAATGAGAATAATTCCTATTGAAGCTTCACTACTGCACACGTTAACAGAATGCAACACTCTCAAAAGCAACAAGATTTCTCATTATGATATTCTGTGTTCATACCTCGAATCCCTGTGGTCTTCCTAGACTTTCTTTAATATGTTTCCACGCAACAAGAATCTCTGATACAGATAAACTCGTAGCTTTGACATCGATGGGAGCAGCAGTGGGTTCTGTATTAAGAAAAATTGAAACAATAAACCTCCGCTGTAACAGCTTGTATTTATCAAAAACACTCCATCTGAAACTGTCATTTACTTCCTTTATTCTACCTTAATACTCTCAAGAAGGTATGACACTTAGGGGGAACATGAAAAACTGAACAAGATGAAGAGATTATTATTGTTGTATTTCTTTATTTGTGTCATGCTACATCAATATCTCATCACTGATGACGGGTGCAGCAAACTGTGACAGAATCGGTGATGTTTTTAAAAACCTTTAATATTTGTATATATGTCCCCTGTCTCCACACACCCCTTTCATAGCCCTAACTGCAGCAGTAAACGGAGCATTCATTCTCTTTGTGGCTTCTTAGAGCCATTCTGTCAGCTCAGGATGAGCAATGCCTTGCTGGGGTGCACAGTCAGTCCTGCCCTGGGGCAATACTGAGTAGGAAGTGATACACAGCACTGTAGTGAGATGCTATGTGAAAGATTCTTTTTTTTAAGATTATGTTATTATATCCTCAAAATCACAGGCACCAATGCTTAGGGTGTACCTCCTTCTCTCTGCTGTGGAGTATTTACTGTTTTAGGCCTTGGGTGCACATTTTTGTAAAGACACCAAGACCTAATGTCTGTCCCTCTGATTGCCTGTGTTTGTTTCCATTGGCCCTATGTTTTTGTTTCTATCTCCATGCTATTCATAAAACACTCTGCAGTCCTGATCTCCTGATTATCTGGAATAGATAATCCTTTCTGTCCTCCAGCCTAGCTGGGTGCCCTTTGGTGATGCTGGGGCATTGCCAGGATGCTCACTGAAACTGTAGGATGCTTTACACACCACACTTGCCCAACCAACAGTGTAGTCACAGCCATGTTTGCCTTTGTATTTTCACATCAATGAATGCTTTACAGAGGCCCAGCTTCTTTCAGTGGTTGGGAAGTTGAGTAAAAGTCACCAGATATTTGCCATGACAGGCTATTGAGCACCCCACCACTCAGTTGTATCACCTGTTACAGTACATTGGGAGCCATGAGTCCAAAAATTGTCTTGTAAGAGACTGGGACATGAGTCAAGGAAATCTTTTGGGTCTTTTGCTTTATTACCTAAACATGACTGAAAACTTTCTTAAAGACAAGCTGTGGAGGCAAGGCTTCTACATATACTGTGCAGCACACAATAGGGCATTTCTCCACCTTTCTGGTGTGGTTCACTTAGCAAAAATATGAATTAATATTTGCTTCTAGTCACAGAACCTATGATTTCTTCCTTGGCCTAATGTTTCTCATTAAATTTCCAGTATGTTGATCTGCCCCTGAATGGCAGGAGAGGTCTTGGTTTTATGCCATTGGGAGACAGATCAAAGAGCTTTTAGAAAAGTGGGGTTTTGGGGACTTGTTTAACAGGTTTGCAGAAAAGCAGTCTCCGTACAGAACAGCCTGAGATAAAATTACCTATTTTTCTCAGTGACCAAACCACCTAATATGTGAGATACCTAGTATCAGTGGTGACTCATTAACTATTGTCCTTTCTCTGCAGATGTTGCTCTGGCACTGTTGCCCTGCAAATATTTTTGACATGGTTATTACAAATTTTTCATCCCTTTTGATATCAGACTTTTAATGCTTGTTACTCTTTTTTGATCTCTTTTTAAATTTACATCTGAAGAAAATAAGTCATTCTGATGTGATATGAAGTGGTGTTTTCCAACAATGAGTATTACTAATAAGTATAAAATATGTTTGGAACTTTTTAGGTAATAAAGAATAAAAAAATATGTTCAGGAATAAGAAAAATGATCTTTTGAATTCAATACTGAAAGAATTGCGTTATGTACTGAAATATATTGCTCATAATCTGATTTTCTGTTCAACAGTTACATCCTGCTTTCTATTTTATGTACTACTAAGATTTGTGTGGCAAAAGCTATTTTCTAGTTTTTGTATTATTGAAGCAATTACCTTGTTGTCAGAAAAGATTGCAGTGGTATAAATAATTTGAGATGTACACAAAATGTTAGTTGGCAGACTTTACATTTTCTATAAATGCAGGTATAATTTCCTCCTCATAGCATTCACTAGGAGTGGTTTATACATTGCTTGAATGTATGAATAGAATATTTTCTGCTATTTTAAAAAAATGTTTTCAACAAATGGAGCAGAAATAGTTTGGATTTTATTTTATGTGAAGAAAATGTATTTCTCACATATTCAGAAATAATTCACTGCAGTTTCACTGATATTAGGCACTGAGAATAGTGTTCAGCAAAACAGCAGAAATTATGTATTTGAGAATAAGATATAGTATGACTGTCTGAAAGTTTTTGGAGAATAAATAGCATTTTTTATTGATTCAGATATGATGAGGACCATATAATTTCTGGTGATATAATACAGTCTGTGGTTCACTCCAATGTCATAGGTTCTCTGTATCTAAAACTAGTGATAAGTTTGATAGGTTCATTAGCTTTTTCTATTACGGTCACTGATGTTACATTATTTTCTTCGGATCTTATTATTATGCTAAACCTATAGGTGTCTACCGAAGGTCATACGTCCTGAAGAAGGAAAAAAGGCCATCTTTAATAGTCTCTTTAATATTCCCTGTTTGAATTAAAGATGCAGTACAACAAATTTTCATAAGGCTGTGTGCAATGTCCATGAAACACTGTCTTTCCCTTGGCTGCAATCATACTTTAAAGAAATATGATCAATATGCAGGTCTTTGGGATGGCTGTAAAATGGCAGGACATGTATATACACTAATTTCATTGCTAATGTTCAGACAGGGAATCCTGAATTTTGACACTGGAAAGTAAGGAAAAGAATCAGTTACTAGCCCTCAGTGTGTTGTACCTGTTTATGACTGTAAGCTGATCTGTTTTCCTGAAATATTCATCCTTAAGGATTCTCACATGATCTACCTTAAAAAACAAGCTCAAGAGCCTACTCAAATTTACATTGTTTTAATTCTTCTGTGGAACAGATCCTCAGTCAGGACTACTCAGCCAATCACTTCATATCTGTTCAGTTCTTATTTTGATTCCAAAAAGGATTTCTACAAAGTAGTCTTATTCAAAATTCAAGCTCTTATTTGAAGAACCTCAGTCTGAGGAATTGCATTATGACTGCAGGCAGTTCTTCGTTGCTGAGATGTTGGGATTTCAGCCAGGATCTATTTCTGTGATAATGCCTCTATGTGGAAAAATCCACAAGAGATATATCAGAAGGAAAATCAAGAAAATTGATCCCTCTTCTGTCAACCTGTAGGTAAAGAAAATTATAGCATTTGCTTCCTTGGTAGAAATAGCCACATGGACTATCTTGCAAATCAGACAACCTTCAGTGAGCTTTTTCCATTCCTGGGAAATAGGGGACTCCACTAGATAGACAGTGAAATGTCTGTCTACAGGATTAGAACTTTCTCCAGTCTTGTGCTCAAAATGGAAAAAAAGATCCAATTTCCACACCAGCAGAAACAAGATTACTGTTTCCAGGACAGACCTTTGTAATTCTCACTTTTCCACAAGTCCTTTCTATTTTCACCTTCTTTCTGACCAGTGTCTTTGCAGAAGATTTTAAAACAAAAGAAAAATTAGAAGAGCATTGGAATGAGCTATAAGGGAAGACCACTGCCCTGAATATTTTTGATGTAGTGCTGAAGTACTCTTTCTTGTTGGGTAGAACTTCTGAAGTCTTCTCCTGTAATGATGCTCTCCTGCACACTTTCTCACAGTGTACATCCTGCTGCAACTCTCTCTTCCCTGTGGAATAACCCAGATTTATTACACAGCAGAGTGTAATCTGGGAATAAGGAGCTGCCTTATTCCCCAGATAATTTACCAGAGGAATGTTCATGAACACAATGGTTCACTTCCATCAAGTGACATGGCAGACAGAGTTACCCTCAGCATGTGGGGGGGTGTGCCCATTATATTGATTGAACATCTGCTTCCCATGGGGCTAATGCCATTGATCAGAGGAGTGCTTAATAAACTCCTCTATGTCAGGATTGTGATTTAATTCCTTAAAAAGTCATTTGAGACAGCTCTAACTGAGCTTTCACAAAATCTCTCCAGACAGAATCTGGCAGAATCAGGAAATAACCCTCTGTAGTTTACTGCTGATCTTCTAATTGGTTTTCAGGTTCACCTAAACCTCAAGTAGCTCAGCTTTAGCTATGAAATGAATCACAGGACCTCAAGAACTTTAGATTTTAATAAAAAAAATTGAGGCTGTATTCAGAGGTGTGTAATTGCATATTATTTCCTCTCAATGAAAAGAAAATAGTAAGTTATTTGTCTAAATATGGAGAAATAAAATTGCAATGGCTTTTGTATGGTCCGTTGCCTTTCAGATAACGGAGAGCTTTTTATCTTCATTGGCTCGATGAATTACCACAGATTCATACAAAGCAAGAACAAAAGCTCTGTGCGGTATCATTGCATCTTGTAAGTATTACAGAAGTGCATCTGGGGTCCCTCAGGAGGTTTTAAACAGTGAGTGTGAGAGTCTTCAGTCTTTAACCTGTATTGCTCAGGGATTTCTATTTCTGATATAGGAGGTTTTAGTAGTACTCACTACTCCATTTATCAAAATTATAGATCTTTCAATTGTTGCGAAGATAATTTTGTCAATGCCTGAAGGAGAAATTAGATACTGAAATGAACAGAACTGATCCTGTATCACCCATTATGACAATCATTAACACAAAACCCCTTTATAAAAGGCCTTGAAACCAGTTGGGTTCTCAGAAACTTGTTTCTATTTCCTTTCACATTCTCATCCATTTCCATACTGTAGAGTACTATAATTCATATTTTTCCTCGTGCTTTTAGGCTGCATCTATACTTGTAAACTAAATAGGGACAGAGAGACAAGGCACCTCCCTGAGCATGGGCATACAGCTATCTGTGGCATTATGCTTTTGGCACCATCTGTGTCGACTCTGAGCAATTTGTGCTGCCCCAAGATGTGGTAGTTTTATCAGAGTAATGCTCTGATGCAAA